TATGCTACATGAGATCAACAGGGACAAAAGTGTTGGGCTGCTGATTTTCATAGATACTCAAGTATCTGATGGATCTCGCTGCAGGGTCCAACAATAGCCAGCCATCATTAATGGATTCCAGTTGCCCTAATACCATTTTTCCATTGTGGCAATGTTGTGGTGAAACTTTTTACCATGTTCTCACTAACTAGATTTTTGGGGGGCGATCGCACGGGGGACAAAGGAAGCAATACAAAGAAACATTGAAAGTCTCCTTCAAGTCCCCGGATATCAACACCACCTCCTGGGAAACCCTGGCACAAGTGCACGCTTATCCACCAAGGCTACCAGACATAAGAGGACAGAACAACAACCATAACACAAGAGAAGCGAGCACTCCACAAAGCCAGAGTTGTAAATGCTGCAACAATGGTGCACATACATCTGCCCGACATGTGGCAGAACATTTCATGCCCGTATAAGCCTTACCATCCACCTGTGGACATATCGTGGATAGCCCACAACCTGTTAGATGTCAGTATCCTCTTCGAACACAATGGACGAACATCATAGAGTTTTGGGAAAGAAGCCAAGTTTGAAGGCAGAAAATGAATTTTCAATGACATGTTGTGCTTCATGATCTTTTATGCTGTACGACGTTTGTCAGCAGCTGAATGTAGTCTGGGTGCTTTGTAGTTGCCAAGATAATTCTCAACGACATCCTTGAATGCTTTCCAAACTATTTTCTCTAGTCCCACTAACAGATCCTTGAACTGCTTGTCATTGATGATATATTTGATGTATGGATAAACAAAAATGCCTTATTTAATCTTGGCATCAATTATTATTCTATCGATGCTACATATTTTCATATATGGTGGACCTGCCAAAAGGTTAAGGCATTTTGGATAAAAATATGGTGGATTATGCAAAATATTTTTAAAAGAAGGATCGTTTGCTCCTCAGTTATTTTTACTAGGTATAAGTACTGACTTTACAGTGGTAGAGACTAACTTTATTCTGCACCTAATAACGGCAGCAAGACTGTTGGTGGCGCAATACTGGA